GGGCTAGGGCAGGACAGGGGCGGGGCTCCTCCCGTCCTCTTTTTTGCTTGCTGGATTATGGTAACCCTAGGTACAGGCGGAGCATCAGCAGTAGACTTACCGCAGTGAAGATACTGCAGTAAGTAGATCTAAGTACGTCGACTTCAGCTACGTTATTCATGTAGCTGAAGTTGCGTAACTTAGATTGATCCCCCAGTGTAGACCAGGCCTCAGGAGAGGTAAGGCAAATCAGTGATGAATGGTATGAAGTCAATGCCCAGGCACTGGTGTGTTAAACATCCCATTTGGATGCTCTCTGTAACTTAATCGTCCTCCACACACTCATATTTCCAGCTTTGTTTAATAAAAAAAAAAAAAAAAAAAAAAAAAAAAAGATTAAATTACAGCAAATGAAGATCACTTTACTCCTGAGTAAAAGCATCCACGTGGTGGTTCTGATACACTTTAACTTACATGCATTGACCTCACGCCTTTAATTGATTTGCCTTAGTCTTCCTGAGAATCCTCATGTAGCCAAGCCCTTTGTCTCTTACAAAGATGGAGCAGGAGATGCCCCATTTTCAAAGCTGTTGACAGACAACAGGGAACAAAGCCCAAAGACACAATGGAATTTATCAGGAGATGTTCAAACATGGTCACTCTCAACTTTACAAAGGGAACTTTAGACTGCCCATTCACGGAAATCTGATGGTTAGCCATGAGCTCTCTCCAGCCTCTGTATGCAGAGCCAAGGGAAGAACTGCAAATTAGCAGCTCCACCCTTCTCTGGGGCTAAGGCTGAGTTGCAGGAGAGAGCTGTTTGAAATGGGCTTGGGTATTTTGCAGGCAGAGATGTTATTTTGCTACTGGTTGCTTTTAATGGTAAAGGATCCCATGCCCTCCATGACTGGAAGATCTTTTCACAGAAAGATTCACCAGTTCTTTTACCCTCCCTTTGATCACTTCAGATATTGAGCAGCATAACCTCTCCTGCTCTGGAGGTGCGTGCATGTGTTCATCTGGGAGCCGAAGTTAGCCTACAATATAGGCAATACGGAACCTCGCTAAATTGCAGCTCATTACGCTGCCAAGTTAGATGCTTAGCTGTGTCATCTACAGAAGCATGGAGCAATGACATTCCACCACTGTGATGAGATAGGGCCAGCATGAGTGAGGTCACACTCTTCATGGAACAACACGGGAGCATCATATGCCTTCCTAGCCCATCCACTGGCAATTCCATGAAACAGAGCTAGGGCACTCATAACTGAGTTGTGTCAGTGGTACTCCTAACGCTTACCAGTCTGCCAACTTCACCCATCACCACTGGGCTCCCCCCACCCCATTGCTGAGGTACTACTGCATGTCGAAAAGCAAAATTTCAAATTATCTCAGTAGAATCCAGCACCTGCTACATGGAAACATGTGGGCCAATCCCCGGCTGGTGTGAGTCAGTTATGAATTCACTGGTGCTTCACCAATTGACACCAGCTCAAAACCTGACCCATATAGGCACAAAATTCAAAGTTCTCCCCCCAGGCAAAACAAAGGAGCATAATTCAATTGTTTTATCATGAGCCATTTCCAAGGGACATTCCCTCCTTTAGTTTCTTACCTTGGTTGAGATAGGTAAGGGTTTCTTCATGCAGCTTTACAGCAGGGGATGTGGCTGTGCAGAGAACATACTGAAACGGAGGCAGTTTGGTGTCATTCTCAGGAGACAGCTGGGGCTCCTCCTGTTTGAAGATCGGCAGTGCAAGGACATCACTGAAACACAGAATTAACACATGTTTACTTACAGCAACTTAGAAGAACACAAGGCAAGAATCCAAATGTGAAATTCTCTCACTCTGGACTTGTGGGTGATGATCCAACAGAGCAGAAGAGATGGAGCTGACTTCTCACGCACAATGAGTTATACACACTAGAGCGGGAAGGTGTGAATTACAATTCAGGGCAGACAGAAGAGTGCTAGCTCTGATCAAGCTTGCGTGCTAAAAATAGAAGTATAGCTGTGGCAGGGTGAGCAGCAGTCCCCAGGGGATAGCAGTCCCCATTACATACCTATGACCATGGTAGCTAGTCCCCCCCACCCGCCCCGCCCCACTGTGGCTACACTTTTATTTTTAGAGCACTAGCTAAATTAGAGCTAGCACAGGTATGTCTCCTCAATCTGGAATGTACACCTTCCAGCTCTAGTGTAGATATTTCCTCTTAGGGTACAAAGAGTTTGGCTTGTGCAGCATAACAGTGCGTGGAGTCCCCCAGTTCAGTAAGTTAGTACCAGGCACACTTTAGCACATAGCATCAGTACAATGGAAGGTCCTCAAGAATTACTTGAGTAAGTAAAAACTAGAGCTGGTTGAGAAGTGGGTTTTGTACCGGGGTGAGGGAGGGAGGGAGGTGGGTGCAAGGAAATGATGAAAACTAACATTGCAACAAAAGTGAAAAGGCTTTTGAAGAAAGTTTTGGGGTTTTCATCCCAAAGACAAAAGCCTGGAAAAAAAAATTCAGAGAAAGTAAAAATAAGCCCTGGATGCGCTCTAGTAAGAACACTGGGATGTAATTTTTTTTTTAAAGCGGAATTTCCTACCTACCAGTCAAAGATTGCTTGATTAATTCTGCACAACAAAGCAACAGCCCCTTCTCTCAAAAATAAGGCATCCTTCCTTGCGCCTACTAATCCCATCCATTTGCTTGTCACTAATAGCCTTCTCCCCACCAAGCTATGCCCTTCCTCTATCTAACTCTTCCCATTCCCCCACAAAACCATGCCTCTCCCTCCTACAATGTAGACACACTCCCTGTAAACTGATCCCATCCTCCCAAAGCCAATCAGCTCACCCTGCGCTCATCACTCCCTCAAAATTCAGCCTGCCCCGACCAACAATTGGTGTGACTAATAACTCAGGGCTGGTCAGGTCACCTCAGGATAAAGGGTGGGGAGGCTGGGGGAGGCCTGGCCAGAGTTAAGCAATATAGTCATAGGGTTAACAAATGATGGGTATTGGGAATGAGCTTTCTTCCACAACAATCCACAGTCACTCTGCCGTGCAGCCAGTTTATATGGCCTGTTGGGATGTGGATGCTTCTTGCTACCATGTTAAATAGCTTCAGGATTTGGCCCATATTGAATAACATGCTTCTGTATGTACCGTTTGCACCGGAAGATAGTGCTCAGCCTTGGAGTTCAGCTCAAAACATTGTGGCTCAGTCCAGGGTTTTGTTCTAGCCCATTAGAGTCACCAGTCACCAGGCTGGATCCAGATATCCCAGCTTCTCCAAAATAGATCAGATCCAGCCATTTGGCCTAGGCCCCTCTCTCATTCTAATTGAAAAGCCTTTAGAGTTTGATCTGTCCACAATATAGGGTCAGGTTCTGCCCTCGGATGCATCTGCACAACTCCCGTGGACCCAAATCTGACGTCCTTTCCAAGTTTCACGCTGGCATAACTCTACCGACTTAAATTAAATCAATCTTGACACTGTCAGAGAACAAAGCAAAGCTCATACGCATTCAGAGTACCAAAGCATGACCAGCAAGGGCATCCCTACACTGCAGCTGAGGGCATGCTTCCCAGCACCAGTAAACAGACTCGCCCGAGCTTTCCTTGAGCTAGTGCCCGAAAAATAGTAGTGTGGACACCGTCAGGCACAGGTACAAGCTAATCACCCAAGCTCAGACACAGGGGGTTGGGCAGCTTTGGACTCAACTCAACAGCTAACCCAGGCTGCTACTTTTAGCATGCTAACTCAAGCATCCCCTCCCTGAGGGGCTCAGGGGTTCTCTCCAAGCTGTAGTGTAGACATACCCTATGAAAATAGATGCCAGTGTTAGCAGCCTTATCTCGCTATGCCTAAGTATAAAGAACCACATTAGTCTTCCCAGCTTCTCTAACACTGAACCCTACTTCTGTTCATTCTGTACTGTTTGTAAGACTACTAAAGTCTAACCCGGCCACCTCCTGGCTCAGAACAGAAATCTTTACAGCCATCTGTTGTCTCCACCGGGCACATGAAACCTCTTGACTTCCAAGTTATTGAGGCAGCAGCTCCATCCATTGCATTAATGCTTATATGCACAAACAAGCATCAAAAAATAACTGTCTAGGCACATGGAAAGGAGCGGTGGCTTGCGCAGTTAAGAGCATTAACTCTGCCCAGGCAGGTTAATGATCCACTTGTTGTTAGCTTTTAACTCGCAGCACTACAACCTTGGGGAGCTCTCTCCAGGCCATTAAATCAAATGGTACTCTGCAGTAAAGACTCAAAAGTTCCTGGTTCAAAAACAGTCACTCCCATTTATGGAGAAAAAGCCATGGAGCAGATCAAGCAAAGCATGGGGAGACTCAGGCGTTTTTTCATCTATAGCCACCATGAAAAAGTCCAGCCCCATTCGTTTCACTGGTATTAGATGCTATCACAATTCTTGCCTAACTGAAACACCAACTTTTTCCTATATGACGATGAAGAGTTATTACAGTAAAGAAGATCCAAATGCCTACAGATTGATTTTGAAAACGGCATTTCTTCTACAGGGACCCCATAATACTTTCCACACTCATATATAGGAATCATTCTCCACTGAAATGCAGTCACCTCTGCAGCACAGGAACACTTATTCATGCACTATCTACACAATGCCATGAGGATGCAAGTTGCTTTACAGAAAATATAACACAGGTCCCTGTTCAAAGGCTCTACAATCTAAGAGCCCAATCCTGCAAATGCAAACAGACAGCCAGTGGGGCCCATAATTAACAACTTTGGGCAAAGATACATTCCTCATCTGGCTGAAATGACAAGGGGAAATGTAGGGAGGCAGAAGTCAAGAGGCTACATTCCATATATCATAGTCCAATTTAATTCCTCTAAACTTGCAAAGAGTGCTATAGGATAGTTAATTACCACAAGCATTCAAGGACCCTTAATTTCATCTGAAAGGTTAGTGGAAAGTCTAATCATAAAAAACAATTGGGAAATTGCACAAAAAAGTGCTATTGTATACAAGTAAACAGAATTTTTATTCTCACAGGGCCTAATCCAAAGCCCACTAACTAGAACGTGCTTTAGATCAGACCCACAAAGAACATTTTACTTTATGGTATTTGGCGCATAGTGTATCAAGAGTCTGGCAAAGAGACAAGGTTTTAGCAGCCAGTCAAGGACTGAGATCATATACATGGCAGGTATATAAATTCAGGCATGGCAAATAGAACTGAACAAAGATTGTGAAGTGCTGTCCTGTCTACCATTTTGGAAAGCAGTTTTTTCTATAACTGAGGCTCCCTAACAGTTCCCATCTTATTTCATACAGAACTTATTTTTAAAGTTTCACTTTTCGGCTAAAGTTTTCCAGGACTGGTCTCTGCCTGAGGTCAAATGCATTTACCATATCTTTTTTTTGGAGGTGCGGGGAAGGAGTTTGTTGAAGTAAGTGAATCCACCATTGGGAGAATAAGGAGAGTGAAACAAATCACCACTGTTCCCATGGGGGCAGGGGAATCAAGATTCTCCCCCACCCCCCAAAAACCCCAACTTTAAGGCCAGGTCTACACTACAGACTTCTGCCCATATAGCCGTCCATTAGTGATGTGAACAGCGCACCAGCAGAAGTCCCTAGTGCAAACGGCTACTACATTTTTACCAGTATAGCTTGCTACACTCACGGGGCGTGATTTTCCTCTCGTCTTTTTTGACGGGGACAGCTGCATCCACTCTAGGAAGGCTTTGCTGGTAAAGTATTCATAGACCAGTAAAGCGCTCAGCCTCCTAGTGTAGACCTGACCTCAGGTCCTGCTTGTACTGGGATTTTTGGCAGTATTATACTTACACCAAAATACACCCCAATGCAGATGGACAGCACTGGGGTAAAAGAGGCATTGGGCTGATGTACCCTGGTAGACTATCAAAGTACATCACACACAAGACTCTTTTGCACAGCCACAGTGTTTCTGCCTCAGAGATTGCACTGGTGGTGTAGATACATCCGTCCAGTTGTCTGTGCACCTTTTCCTAGTCTAGACAAACCTCAACAAGTCTGGCAGAAAAGTAGCCCTCACCGAAAATAGGTGTCTTCAAATGTTCCAGTGCAAAATGTGGGTTGTATTGAACAGTGTTAGGAGGCATCAGAAGTCTTTGGGTTGTATACCATCACCTGTCACTGTACTAGGAGTGAATGGCATGCTCTCCATGTTCCTTAACAGCCAAGGCAGCCTGCACACTGTACCAGCCCTTGGGTTCACCCATTTACCAGCTCCACGCAGAGGGAGCTGGGCAACAGCCCCATCTAAGTTATTAATACACATACCTCGGGGGGCGAGAACATGAACACCCTAGACCGTTTAAGATACACTGGCCCTTCATGGCAATGAACAAGTGGCCTCTATGTAAGAGAAGGGGAGGGGGGAGGGAAGTACTCAAATCGAATACCGTTCCACCGGAGAACAACAAGGGATTTTGTACTTAAAGCATCCTATGCATATAGGGCTAGAGTTTAAGAATGCATTTCTAGCAGCTTAAAGGAAGAGATTACCAGGCTTTTGAGTGCTTAAATGGGCAAGCTGGAGGTTCCCGCAGATAGCTGTTACACGGAGATATGCTTTGAAAATGACAAGCCATTTGGTTGTGAACCAAACTCTCTGCTGGTGTAAATCAGCACTTAATCCACTTCCACTGAGTTATGCCATTTTCCACCCGCTGAAAGTCTTCCCCTATATATTTGAAACAATTTTCATAAACATTCAGCAAAGTCAGAAATGAAATTCCCAGTTGTCTATTAGAGGGGTGCAAAGGTGGGGTTGTTCTACATATATCGCCATGCTGCAGACTATATTGTTTAACTGCCCCTGTGCTTAAATTAGCCATTTAATTCAATGTGACTGGTGTGAAAACAAGACAGGATATAACTGGTTTCGACAAGCTCACAACCAGAGGCTGGAGCCAGTTAGCCATCCTCCAAAAAGAAAAAAGAAACATCTGATCCTGAGAAAATCTGATGTCTTCCTAATTTCCAAGGCAGCATTTTCTACAGCCACTTGACAGTGCTTTGCAGAGAGTTGTAACTTCTCCCTTTGAAATGCTCTAGTTAAATCTCTACAGAAGAAGGCAACCCTCAAGGGCGATCGTCCAAAGATCAACAGCCAGCAGTGTCTAATAAAGACCCTTACAACGCGATTTAACACCCAGCACTGGCAAGAAGTGGGGAGAGCCCAGTTTAGCTTTCTGTGACTCAAAGCCAAAGCTACACAAATTCCTTAAGCCTGTTCATAGTTATAGACAGCAAAGGTGGGAACGTTTCCAAGGGAACCCAAAAAGAAGAAAACTTTCTAGGAAGTGGATTTCACCTGGAAACAGCACAAGACAGCTCAAATTAAAAGAAACAAGCCAGGAAGTTCACGGGCAGATTCGCCGCTCATTTATTCGGATTATACTGGTTTCACACCACTGTAACCCGAGTGGCGTTACTCCGGATCTACACCAGCCAGAGGAGATCCACGCGGTGTAGCTTTGCACACCAACACTTCTGCCCCTCGCCGAGGGGATTTTTCTCTAGACAACACGCGTTGGAACGGAGGCTGGCTTCGCCCAGAGCCAGCGGCACACGCGACGCGGCGCGGCAGGGCAGTGTCAGCTGAGGACAGTGGGGAAGCGCCAGCTGGGTGACACGCTGCCAAGAGTGGGACGCGGAGCCCCCGGCACAACGCAGTGGAGACACGGCGGGGGGCGCCCCATCCTATAGCCCCCGCTACGCCTGAGCGCCCCCCCAGCCGGAACGTGCAGTGGGGCCAGCCTGCGCCTCTCCCCATGCTGCCCCAGGCAAAGGGCACCGGGCTCTCCAATGCGCCTGGAGCGCACCAGCGCCCACCCTTCCCCGGTGCGCTCCCCTTCTCCTCCGGCTTCTCTCTGCCCCTAGGGCCCCAGCCCCGCCAAGGGCTGCCCTGCCCGGGAGCACCCACCGCTCCGCAGCGCCCGGAGCTGGCACCCCGCGGGCAGGGGCGGTCCCTGCGCCCGGGGCAGGGCGCCGGACTCACCGCAGGTAGCTGCCGGTGGAGTGCTGGTTGTAGTGCTCGGGCTGCGTGTGCCAGAACAGCATCTTGGGGAGCCCCGGGGAGCCAGGCGCCCAGCCTGGCACAGCGCGCACCACTCCAGACCGCGGCCGCCCGCGCCGCTACCTGCGCTTTTATTGCCCAGCCCCGCCGCCGGCCGGGCCCTCCCCCTGCTCCTCCTCTCCGCGGCCCGGGCGGCTCCACCCGGGCCTGGCTGGGCGGGCGGGGCTCGCAGGTGGATGTGGCGCGCGGCGGTTTCCCTGGAGAGAGGGCAGGACAACTAATCCCACAGGTGCCCCACAGTACAGGGGCAGGGCACCCAAACGTGCCCCAGAGAGGGGGGTGGGCAGGACACCCAAACCCATAGGTGCCCCAGAGAAGGAGGCAGGACA